ACACACAAATACACACATACTATGTACCAAACAATGCAAACACATATACTATTCCTAGGAATTATTCTTTTTCCACAAGCAAAAATTTTTTCAATTTTATCATTACTATGCCACTATTTTCATGCTAAATGTTCAAACAAGTTATACTCTTTAGTTCCATCAGTTCAGACCTTTACAGCTACGACCTGCTATGCCATATCCTCAGGGTCAAATCATTCTCGTTCTCTTCATATTTAATTGGTAATTAGGAAGCATCACTCAGCTTCTTCACAAGAACCCCTACTTTATGCAGCATACTCCCAAAAGGATGCTTTCCCAATCACTTCAATCTTAACCTCTCCAAGTCTGGGGTTATCTGTTATCTATCCTACATATCCTCATAATCTGCAATTACTTCCCCCTCATATGTCCATACAATAACTTCCTTGAGTAACCCTTTACCTTGAGTAACTCTTGGGCATAATATATAAATGAAAATGCCACATTTTAAAAAAATCCTTATTGTAATTTAAATAAAAGTAACATTCATGAGTACATCCAATGGCATAGCTAGAGTGTGTTCCACTTGGGGAAGTAGCCCTTGAGTTTACCACCCATACCCTCTCAAAAAATACAACATATTGCACAATGACTCCCTCTTATATATATATATATATATATATATATATATATATATATATATATATATATATATATTCTGTAGTTCACGGCTACTAACAAGCAAAAAATTTTTTTTTCCTCCTGATGATGGCCATGTTGGCCCGAAACTAGTCGAGGAATCTAACTGAAATAATAAAAACGAAAAAAATATTAATATACAACCCAGTCTGTTTGAAGATTTTAATTTTTTAATATTTTTTATTGTTCAAAACATATATATATATATATATATATATATATATATATATATATTTAATACATATTTGTCACTTAGCTTATTGATGTTTGCAGCACCCTGACTTTAAAGTTTCATAGATGGACTCCCCAATAATCACTCCGTCTACTCATCAGCAAATACCAGCAATGACTGTTTATTTTCTTGTTTTTTGTCACTTTTATATTGAGTTGAAAAATAATTTATGCACATTTTCATTGGTGCAAGGTTGATTTATTTTTCATTGTGTGAGTGTGTGTATGCATGCACATGCATCTGTGTGCATGTGTGTGAATATGTCCATGCACCTACCCACATGCATGTGTGTATGTGCATACATATAGAATGTTGTGTTTATTTCTGCTTTTAATCATTTTTCTTCTCTCGTTATACGCTCTCTTTATTGGTTTTATACTGTCTCTCTTTCAACTTTGAGTAGCAAAGACAAGTGTAGCAATCCAGCATCCATTTTGGCAGACAGTCTCTGCTCTTAGTAATTCTTGAGCATTCTAGGGCCTTCTTGAGTTTGGAAAATGTAGGTGTATTTCATTATTTTACTTGAATAATTTTTTTTATTATTAATGTTAAGATAAATATTTATATATGTCTTCACTTGCCCGTTATTTCATTTTTCTCATTTGATTTGGTGGTATCTTAAGTATTAGGGTTTTAACTATAGAAGGTTATGTTTCTAATTAAATTTTATTCATAGTTGTCTGAATTTGTATGCATATGCTTACATTCATGCATTCACACACATACACATACATACACACACATATATATATATATATGTATATATATGTGTGTGTGTACATACACACAAATGCATGCAGACAAACATATGCACACATGTATCTATGCTTTTATATTAATATATTAATTAATGCTTAAATGGTAAAGTGTTTGGTTTCACTATGTTTTTTGACCTGCCTTGGTGGTAGTTCAAATGTTAAGGTATTAATTATGGGTGATTAGGTTTATAGATGAATTTTCTTTTTTTGCTTGAATATATGTATATAAGGTATATTATATACAAACACACAGACATGCACACACACACACACACAATATATATATATATATATATATATATATATATATATATATAAAGTGAACATTGAAGTCAACACTTAGAGGTGATAGGCTGTTTCATGCTAGACCCAATCATCGTGGCCTGACAATTCCATCTAGCATGAAACAGCTTATCGCCTATTGAGCACTTTATCCCAGAAATATAGCACACCTTAAGAGTATATATATATAAAATTAAATATATGTGTGCATGTATTTATAAATAAATATATATTTATATATATATTAAATATATAAATTAAATATATATATTAAATATATTTTGCCTTGGTGTTGTCTTAAATATTACAGCATTAATTACAGAAGGTTTTGTTAGGTTTGTTATATATATTATATATATATATATATATATATATATATATATACATATATGCGCATCTAAATGTGTACATTTATTATATTTATTCATTTATTTTATTTTAGGTTTATTCTATTTCTTTATTTAAAATTCTATTTATTTAACTTAATTTATTTTATTTTATGCTCATTTTATATTTATTTTATTTATATTATTTTAATTCGTGCTTAGATGGCAAAATATGTGCTTAGTTATATGCCTACACTTATCCATTATTTCAGTTTTCTTATTTAAGTGTTTATTTTGGTTTCTAAAACTAATAATTATTAGTTTTTCCTCTAAGCATAGTTTACAGTTTTTACTGTTAAAACTACCTGGGGGCTGCCCATTAAACAGGCCCAAAAGATAAAAAAAATAGCGTAACACATATCCTCAACTCTCAAACAAACTTCCGTCAATGAAAATAACTGAAATTTATATGATAACAACCAAGATGTGCCTCCCATTCACAGTGCTGATGCAGCATTAAAAGAATGCACCCTGGGTCCGTGCACAGGCTTCACATTCTCAACAATCATAAAACAACCCTGAATAAATCATTGGATAATGTTTATTGTTTGGCCAAGATAACAACCGCTTAAATACATATGCCATAGTTTAAGTTTCTTGAAATCAAAATAATCCTTCATCTGTGAGTAGCATCCTAACATTAAAACACTTTTATTTCAATACAGGCTCGACACCCACCTTAGCTGCTGGGCACATCACAAAGAGATATTACAAAACACCTCTTGACCATATATATATATATATATATATATATATATATATATATTCAAGTTTCATTAAAATGACTAATAAGGTACTACAGTTAAGTTTTTTATTTAATTTTTCATATATTCTTATAATTTTCTTCTTTTCTGGATATAGATTATGTAGAAATTGATTGTCCAAATGTTCTGCATGTTAACGTGCTTTTGGCTATACTTTTAGCCATTATCAAGCCATTTTATTTTTACTATTAACTGAACTGCAGTAGCTTTCAGTCGTTTTTAATGAAACTTGTATAAAAGAGGGGTTGCTGCCCAAATACACAAATTATATATATATATATATATATATATATATATATATATATATATTATTAGTTTGGTACTTGTAGCATCACTGATGGCAAGATGATCAAATTTCAAATCTAAATTGTCTATTTAAAATATATTTATTAAAAAATATATTATGTTTAAATATAGATGTCAAAAAATAACTTCAAATGTGTGTAAATTTTGCTTTTACTCTTTTCCTGTTATCCAGGAATTGTTGATAGACAGAAAGGGAAATTAGCCTTCATGACACAGATGTCTATTTCAATTTCATTCAGATTCTATTTCTATGTATGCTTGTGTATGCATATTTTCATTCAATGACAGGCTTAAAAAATATTTCCATGAATTTTAAAAATAGAACCTGTCAAAAATAATTCTATTTATTATGGAATAATTTCCAAAAAGTTCAACAAAATTTTTGTAATTTTCCTATTTTTTTTTAAGGGTTTAAAAGTTTTTTTTATCTTGTCTCCTACCTTATGATTTTATTGTTCAGCCCAGGATAGAGGTTATCCAGACTGAGTAGGGAAGGGACTGAATTATAGCAGTTTATTAAGCATAGTTTAGATGTGGCACAAGGACATGAAAGTATGGAACACCCAGTGAAGATCAATTACACTACTCAGTTTTAATCAATTGGGGAATGTGGACGTTTATACAAATGTTTTATTTTAAACTTGGTCAAATTGTGTGTGTGTGTGTTCATGTGCATGTGTACGTGTGTGTACATGTACATTAAATGGCACAAGTACATGCAAGTCACTCATGTCTGGTACAGACATATACATTACATACATATATACAAAGTCACAAGCAAACAGTATGTGATGAACAAAGAATCAACTCTTTCTTTTATAATATAGTGTTTTTTTTTAAGTATTTTCAGCATGGTTGTAAATTTTAATTTTTATCCTTCATTTTAGGAAACTGTATATTTTTTAAATGTGAAAAATCTGATGTCCTGTAATGAAAAAAAATGTACAAAAGTCAATAGTTTTGTTAATATGACTTTATTTAGCCAGAAGTTGATACTTTATGGCTGCTCAATCTGTCACCTACTTTGCCAATATAGTGAGCATTGATTGGTCAATTTTCTCTCATATATCCATGAAAGGCTATTGGTTGTTTCTTTCCATCATTCCCAGGACATTTTTTATGGGATTGAGGTCTCCAGACAAAGTAGATTACTTCATTACAGATGAAAAGTGAACTATAAAACAATTGTACTTGCAGAATGGCAACTGGCATTGTCTTGCTGAAAGATCAACTTTTTCCTTTCACCTCTACTTATTGGTAGCTTTGGGATCAAGCTGTATTCTAGTGTCTCTTATTATTTTTTTAATGTCAACATTCCAATGTAACAATAATGTTACATCGTACCTATGGACTATAATGGGTATGTTCCAATCCTCATAAATACAGTGGAATATACTGTCTGTGGGGATTCATGACTAGTTCACCACTAGCAGTGGATTACTTACTACACGCCGCTGGTGAATCTTGTATGTTGTTAATGTTATAAAGATTACCGTTCCATTTCCAACCATTGTCTTGGTTATTCTTATTCAGTAACCTTTTCTAGGTTACAACAAATAACAAGACACCAAACTCCACTACTAGTAACAGTGGCTTACGGCCATATCACATTGAAACACCTGTTCTTGTATGATCACCAAAGTTAAACAATGTTAAGACTGGTCAGTACCTAAATGGGTGACCACTTGAGAATACCAAGTGCTGTTACTTGGATGTGCAGGTGGTGTAATGAATAAAGGTTTGGAATTAGAAATCAGAGAGCTGATTTCAAATTTAAGTCAGGTTCGTGATATTCACAAATGCACAAATACCGTTGTATGGCTCTAACTCTTCTTCCACCACCTATGTGTTAATTAGTAAATCATGTATCAATAAAAATCATTATCTCCCTAAAATTTCTTGAATCTAAAATACTTTCTGTCTTTAAATAACATGCAAATGTTGATAAGCTATAAAAACAAATCAAGCTGCAGTGACAAAAAAAAAAAAAACAGTAAAAGTACTATAATTCTTCCACCACCAAACCTATTAATTCTTCTTTTTTTTTTAAGCAATTCATCCCAAGCAAGACAGAAGTGCCACTAGCATGCAAGGGGTTACAGAAGATTGAGAACAAGAGTAAAGAGTTGTGTTTAAGGAAAGGATACAGAGAAGGATGGGAAACAAGCTCAGGGTGTCAGATGTTGATTGACATTGCACTTGAATATTTGAAGATTATAGTCATTGGGGAAGCAAGTAAGGGGAAGGGAGTTCCACAGACAGGAAGCATGAGAGAAGAAGCTGTTTGAGTAGAAGAGACAGTTAGATTTAACTATTTTGACAGTGAAAGGATGAGACTGAGATGCCAGCCTGGTAGCTCGCTTGAATACCCATTTTCAGTGTTTTTCATCATAGAATAAAGCAAAAAAAATGTGTAATAAGTCTTGTCAAGATTGAAGTACTTTTCATCTTTCCAGTTCACATCCTATAGATAAGTGTGCTCTTTGAGGATCATCGTTTCCCAGTGGCACTTAACTTCATTGTGTACAAACAATTTTATCTTATCTCACATCAGTATTATATGAGAGTTACTAACCAAGACATTGTGAATAGAAAATTCTGATACTTGCTATAACTGGCTTATTTCTTGTGCAATTTTCTGGACACCCTTAGATAGATTTTCTACTATAGTTCAATTCAATGTCTAGCCAACTCAGAAAGCTTCATTTTCTTGTCAGATTATTTCTGTGTTTCACCCTAATGCTAATATTTAAACATTGAACAGATAATCTACACATTTGCCATTGAATGGCTCTGAAGAACGCAAATCAAAAACTGGTTGGCATGTTTTTTGCTATTTTCTTGTTTATTGTTGTTTTGATTCACCAGTTTACAATGATTTATTTCATTATCTTTGCTTTTTTCCCCCTATTTGTTGTTTTTTATGCACAATTTTGATATGTCTTTTTTTATAGCATTAAATTATTTTTTGTGAGTGAATATTCCATTTACATTTTTTTTATAATAACAATGATTTTGCCAGATACAAGTCCTACTATTTAACCCATAACTGGGAAGAAAAGAAATGAATTCATACCTTCCCAATGGCATGCAAATGAATGATTTCTAATTCCAAGACACTATCCATTACACTACCCACACATGACTGCATATATATATATATATATATATATATATATATATAAAAAGAACAGTAAGATATATAATCCAGTGTTCTTATAGATATTTTTATTTTTACAAAATAGTGCTCAATGCAAATTTACAGAGCATTAATATTATAAATTAACTGATTTAAAATATGTTTTTTTTGCTACACAGTTCTAACCATGTTTCAAAAATGGAAGCTAAAAGCTTCGAATTTAATTTTGTAAATAAATTAAAAACATTAGTTCCATTTCATCCTCAAAAGAATTTTGGAGTAACTTATTTTTAAATTTACTGAGTTTTAAAGGCACAACAAGAATTCATAATTCACTGTTTCCAAGGATACAGAGAAATCCAATCATTCAGACAAGGGGTGGTAGCGTGTTCATTTTCATTAACTTTTGTTGTATCAGTTATTAGTTACATTCGAAAAAGGGGTTATGTTTAGGTAGGGGTAGGGATGTATTTTTCAACAAATTCTGACTTCCATTAAATGCATGTCGTCTGAGTTTTTTAAAATTTTATTGTTAACAGCAAAAATTCTTATGGCATTATATATATATATATACATATATACATACAGCATTATATATATATATATATATATATATATATATATATATATATATATATATATATATATATATATATATATATATATATATATATACATACATATATATATATATATATATATATATATATATATATATATATATATGTATGTATGTATGTATATATATATATATATATATATATATATATATATATATATATATATATATATATATATATATATATATATATATATATATATATATACATACATATATATATATATACATACATATATATATATATATATATATATATATATATATATACATACATTTATACATATACATGCATATATACATACATATATATATATATATATATATATATCTTAAGAAACAGAAAGAACAGATGGAGTTAGAATCAACAGTTCTTAACGAAGAGGAACAATTATAGTTCTGAAAGTTTTTGTGTAGCGATATAAAATGTTTTTATTGTAATCTATTATAATAAAGATATTTTAATAGTATTTATATATAAAAGTGGACACTGAGGTCAACACCCAGCGACATACTCTGGTAAAAAATGTTTACTTTGACATTAGGTTTATAATCCCCAGAATTCTCTCACTAATGTTACCAAGAACATATGGTAACCCATGTCTTAAAGAAATACAAAAAAATAATTCTCACAAGTACAGTTCACACCTTATGAAGGGCTTTATCAGTGTAAAATATGTCTGCCATGAAGTTGTTTTTTTAATTTAACTTTTATACAAAAAATATTTGGTGAAAATGTCAGGATGCCATTTCTGGCCTTAGGTCACTTGTTGGGACCCAAAAGAAAATAAGTATACAACAGAAATCAAAGATGATGATCATCATCATCATGATTATGATTATAATAATAGTAATTCCTATTGTCCGGTTCACACACCTCCCCCACATTTTGAACAGGAATAGAGGTTTATTCCTTGTTTCCTATTTAGGATAACGTTTCCTGGTTCCTTCTAAAGTCTTCTCATTCTCTTTCATTCCCAGCAGCCTCTTGCATCTTAGTGGCATTATCACCTTGCTTGCGGTGAAATAATAAATAATTAATCAATAATAATAATAATCAACATCATCATCGTTTGCTGCTGATGATGATGATGATGAATGTGAACATGTTTTATCATGGGCGCAAACATATTTCTATGCTGTGATAAGAATATACATGATAAGAGTAAGGGGGTTTTATACTCATTAACATGAAATATGTGACTGTTAGATTTGAAACCTTCCTATCAATATTAAATATCAACACATTAACTCTCAGATTATATTTTTGTAATTAATTTTGAAATTTACTAACAAAGATGATGGTCAGAAAACAGCAAACATTTTGCAATGAAATATGAAAATAATTCTGATTAAAATCTATGAAAACACAATCAAGCAGAATATGTAAAAATATAAGTTGCTGGAAAAAAATAGATTATTTATAAGATATCCATTCATTTCATTTTAAATATGAAAGACATTTTCTGTTTATTCAGAGTAATCAATTTATCATACATTATACTAATTCTTTCCCTCACTTTTGTAGACTGATCTTTCAACTATACAGTAATTGATTCTAATGTATAAATAGTGTATAGGCTTATTCTCGAACGATCGTAATGTAGGGGAGAGAACTCATATATACTTTTCAAATGCTACTCCAAATTATAAGTACAAGTAGAATAATAGTATAGATAATTATTCTATTCTGTAAATAATGCTTGTATTCATTTTTTTTTTTTTTTTTTTTTTTGACACCCCACTTTTTTTCAAGGCATTTCAATGGTAAAATCATTAACAATGCACTTCCAAAATAAAACTACTATAACCAAGGCTGGTTTACCCTTTAGGCTATTATAGGCTGCAGCCTAGAGCCCCTCAAGCTTTTATAAAACAATCATTTTAATTTTCAAGGTTTTATAACTGCTAAATAGTTTCATAAACTGAAATCAATATAACAAACTCATATTTATTTGCAGGAAACAAAGCAAGGAAAATAATGTTTTAGTTTGTATTATTGTGTTTCAAGTAGATAACGTTTAATTTTAGTTCAGAATGTTTAATTCTTAGTGTAATTTTTATAAAGCATATTATAAAAGTTATGTTATAACTTCTAAATAGTTTCATAAACTGAAATGATATCAATATGACAAAATCATATTTATTTTGATTGTTTTATTGTTATATTGCTGATTATAAAAATCTGCTTTTTTATCTGGCTGTGGTGAAATTTGTGCTAATTTGATTTGCAATGAATAGTAAAATAGTGGTATTTCTTAAAGAATATTTTTATTGACAGACCAAAGATAGCTGTTGTAGTTTATTTAAAGAAGTTACAATAAGTTTGCTTCAAGCTATGTAAATGTCGCTAAAATATATTACAATTAAAAATATTCAATACCAGTACAGGCAAGTTAGAGTTCTTCTGTCTGAGGGTTCCCCCTAATTTCTTTAACCTAGGGCCCCTAAAAATCATACCCCACCCCTGACTACAACATAATTATCTTTTATAAATTTGTGTAAGGCTAAATTCTGTCTGTGTCCCTACTTTACATCAATAGCACAAAACAATCAATATTGTTATCCTGTAAACAATCATATTGCTGTTGCCCTTTTTTTATATATATATATATATATATATATATATATATATATTACTAACAAATTGTGTTTACAAAATAAGCAGTAAGATTTAATTTGCATAACAATTTTAAAAATATATTTTTATAAATACTTCACCTGTGTCATTTTTAATTTAAATTTAAAAAATTGCCATAAATAATGCTTCTGAACTGGATCCTGTTCTCTCTAAATTCTACAATAAATGCATTGCTGCTTCTTGCTTCCCTGCTTGTTGGAAATCCTCTTCTTTAGTTCCAGTCTTTAAGAACCAGCTGATCCTTCTAACTAATGGCCTGTTAGCTTTCTACTTTTTTGGCAAAATACTAGAGGCTCTAATTAACTCTAACTAACTGATACTAACCTCCAGGAGAGTGACTCATTGCACCTTCTCAGACTAATGTTTTCAGCTGACACAATGTGGAAAGAGTGTATTGAATCCATTGCTATGTCTGCAGTTAAGAAAGTTGGTTCGCTATGTCATGCTAGACAATTTTTCTCACCAGAATCTATGTTGCACTTTTATAAGTCTACCATTCATCTTTTGAATATTGCTACCACATCTTATCTGGTGCTCCTGCTATATTTAGGGATTCTTGATAAATTTAAAGAAGAATCTGCAATGTTATTGGTTCTGACCTGGCATCTCGGCTTCAGTCCCTTTCCCACTGCCATAACATAGCTTCCCTGTGCCTTTTCTATAAATACTTTCATGGTAATTGTTCTGATAAACTTTCCACTATAGTTTCTAGACTTTATGAATTTAAGCGCAGTATTAGATTGATGAAAAGGTCTCATTATTTTATTGTTGAAATGGCTTGATGTAACCATAAGTTCTATACTAAGAGTTTCTTCTATTGCACTTCTCACTTGTGGAACTCTGTCCTAGCTTCTTGCTTTCCAGTCAACTTTGATCTTCAAAAATTTAAATGCCATGTCAATTGTTATCTCCTGTCTTCTAAATTCTTATTATTTTATTGTCCTCTCACCTTAATAGTAGTTTTTCTCATATTCTCTAAAATTCAATAACCCCTTAGATCCTAGTGACTTTATTGCCTTGCTTGGGGTGAAATGATTAAAACATAAGTAAAAAATGTTTCTCTCAATAAAGTTTTTTTTAATTCATCATGTTTGTATAGAAAGAATTTATATTGGCCTTGTCAAAATTCAGGCATAAGTTAGCAGGAAAATAAATGTCTTTACATTTAAAGAAAATGTAAAATAAATGTAATCCTGGCTTCTAAAAATAACTTTCTTCTTAGAGAAACTGACATAAAGAAAATAATTTTTTAAAAATATTAAAATTTTTATAGAATTCTTTAATTTTAGGCTGATCTTATTTAGCATGTCATTCATAATAACCATTGTTGTCATCTGACATTTCACATTACTACAAATTAGTCATGCAAAGCCAATTATCTAAATAAGTTAAAATAATCTATTTGATTAGATTTTCTTAAAGCGATACTAAATTTTGTAAATAGTGAAAAAATAGTAAATTTGCTGAATTAATTTTTATTATTAATGTAAACATTAAAAGATTATTTAAATGTTTTTTGCATGGTCAGCTCAATGTAGTTATGTCTATAGTAGGAAATTCCAGTGCACTTAGCATAATGATAAAAGAAACTTTAGAAAAGTAATGTCTTTCTGAAAATATTGCTTTTACAGACATTTTAGGGAGTTAAAAAACTTCTGTTATAACTTACTTTTCTCTGTTCATGGGACAGGTATTCAGCTGATATATATTATTATATATATAATCAAGGTAAAAGTTACCTTGATTACTGACCAATGAATCCCTTTCTTCCTTATTGACAATTCATTTTTTGTAGAAAAAAAATTACAATGTATTTAGTTAGTAAAACACTGCTACAAGATGATAGTTACACTTGCCTTTGTAGAGGAGTTATAACTCTGAGTAAATAATTATAAACCCCCTTACATTTATATATACAGAATATACTTGTAAAAATAAGAAACAGCAAGAGGTGGAAACAACAAAACAAGTATTATTTATTATCTGCTTGCTATGTGGTGTTACAGGAATGAGAGACAGTAATACTGAGTAAAATTGTGAGTTTGAAATCAAATGTAGATCAAATATGCATCAAAATCTGACAAAAGGATAAGATAAAGAAATAGTAAAATGTATGCAGTTTTTCTCATGTTTTTTATAGATGTGTGTAATTAGTGTCCAGATAATTTAGTTGGAAAAATACTAGAAGTGTCTGGGGTTTTCTTACCTTTAATTTTTCTTGAGAGCAAAAAGATAAATGTTATTATAGCCTGAAAAAAGAAAAGGAGATGAACTTTTTGTTGATAGACATGTTAATGACCTGTCTGTGTGAACTGCTTGTCTGATAATGAAAATGTCATGTGTTTGTGTGTATAGAGGGAAAAAGTGGGGTTGAATTTCATTGGTTTAAAATGAGTGAATTAATGATAATTATAATTTTTTTTATTATAATTATTTTTTTGACACTATAATTAATTTTTATTTATTTTTTATGGACACATCACCTCTAAAATAATGGAGTGGGGTATCAAATAAGAAAGGTACTCTTTAAAATTGCAAAACTTTAATGAATGTGGTGTAAATAAAAATATATATAAAATATACTATTAATAATACTCAAGAGCAAGATCAACTAATACACAATCAAGATCAATGAACATTCATTTTTCACAACTTGTATTGTTTGCTGCCATGAAATTTTCATAAATGGGGAGTTCAAATAAATTATGGTGGGTGTCTCTTAATTTTCAAATTTTTAATAAGTGTACCTCCACTATTTATTTAAAAAGCAAAAGTATACATAATCCTATTCTGTCAAAAGCACTTGCTTTGATTACTAACCATTGACAGTCCCTTTCTTTTTTAATGATAATGCATTTTTATTGTATAAATATATTGTAATACATTTAGATCATAAAACACTGCTACAAAATAATAATTATACATATAACAGCCCTATGTTTTCATTAACACTTACCTTGTTAAGTTCAAATTCCAGTTCAGGAGAATTTATAACAAAAATATTAACAGATCGCAACATCTATCAGAGGTGAAATTTAAATTTTTATTATTGAATTATTCCAAAATTTCAACACATCAGCAGATAGCTATTAATGTCAACAACTGAGCAAAAATAGTTATTAATTAAAAAAATTAGTAATTAATGTATAATTTTAAATTTATTAATTAATAAAATCTGAAGAGTCAGAATTACTTTTATATCCAAATTTTTGTAAGAATCTTTGTGTAGTTCTTAAGTTTGCTTTTCATCAAAATTAAGATAGCCACAACTTAGAAGAAAAAACAAAACGTTCTTCGCAATAGTCCTTGTTTTTCATAATCTTCTATCTCTAACAAAAGAGTGTATTTTATATATTGTATCATGTGATATTATTCCTTTTATGTCAGGCCTTTTCCATGGAATATTAACAGAAATTAAAAGTTAAAAAATACATAAAACATGTGTATATTGCTATTTGTGCTAAACAATAATAATACTGAATAATTTTTTTTAAACATTAAAGTATATTTAATCACATCTCCCTAATAGCTGTCGTGATCTGTAAACACTATTTATTTATTATGTTATTTATTGGAATGGTTCATAAAACATCAGCTAATTACCTATTTGAACTTTATAAAATGGTAAATAATAAGGATTTCCTTACGGTTGGCTCACATATTCTAATAATTTACTAAATGTTTATTAATTTATGAATAAAAAATTGTTTTCATATTTATTTCTTTATAAATTGGTAAATGATAAATATTGCATTGTATTAATGTTTAGAATGTTGTAAATATAAAATTATTCTTGTAAATAAACAATCTAATAAATAGTGTTTAACATTTTTGTTGTAATTTCTTAAGAACAAATAAATGTAGAAATGCATTTTCATAATGTTTAGCATTTATTAAAATTCTGATCATTGCTTTTTGAAACAATAAACATTTCCAAGGAGTGTAGGTAGTAACAATAATAGTGGTGTCAAGGAAAAAAATGTTCTTTTGTCACACTGTTTTATAGTACAAATGTATTGTAATACATTTAGATCATAAAACACTGCTACAAAATAATAATTATACATATGTTTTCATTAACACTTATCTTGATCATTGACCAATAACAATTGCTTCCTTACTGACAATTCATTTTTATAATAAAAATATCTTATAATGCATAATTATACGTATCTGGTCTCTATTCTGTCAATAATGATTACCTTAATTCCAAGTTATTTTTATACCATGATGGCAGCATGATATAATAATTCTGAACTTACAACCAAATTACATTGAAACACTGCTTCTCGTGTGATCACTGAAGTTAAACAATGTGGAGCCTGGTCAGTACTTAGATGGGTGACTGCTTGGGAATACCAGGTGCTGTAAGCTTGGATGTACAGGTGATGTAATGGATAATGGTTCTGAAATGGAAATTAGAGTGCTGTGTTCCAATTCCAGTTGGGTTTGTTTCATTCACTTATGTACAAATATTCATGGGATAGATATAAATCCACGTCTTCTCCCCACAGCTATGGCTTAATTAGTAGGATGTAAATCATTATTATTTCCAAAAAATTCTTACAATCTAAAAATATTTTCTGGCTTTAAATAAATTGCAAAAGGTTGATAAGACATAAAAAACAAATCCATAAATCAATCTTTGTTAAATGGCAACTTTAAATTCTGACCAATTCCATTCATTTCAATTCACACGAATGCCCTTGGAAAAGGCATGAATCCATCTTCTTTCAGCCATGTGTCAAATAGCAGGGCAGACTGGGCTCTCATGTTTTATGTGGTAGCCAGTATAGAAGAAGGAAAACTCTGAATTTAAACCCCTGTAAATAAGAAGGAAGACTAAGCTCTTTAGCCTTGATAGGGCTACCAGTCTTGACTCAACTCTGAATTTAAAATGTGCCTGAAGAGGAATAGGCTCTGTCAGACTATCTTACTCTAGAACACACACACTGCTGCTCTGACTGCTGTATATATGGTACTCCTCCAATTCTAATGGCTTATGGAACTTGTGATCATTGTTTACATAAACAGTTAGTCTTGTATAAATGTGTTAAAATTAAACAGACATTTTATTTCTGTTTGTAAAGGATATTAAGTTAGGTATGCATCCCTGTTGACAAGAAGTATTCTTACTTTGTTTTAATATATAGTAATGCTGGCAATTTAAATATGTCTTATATAGGAATAAAGTGTTGCTGCCGACACTTAAGTTTGAACATAGATTGCCAGTGAGCAAACACAGGCAATCTCATTTTTTTAATTAAGTGGATCATGTGACCATAAAGGAAACACATATATAGGTAGTCACATGACATCTAAATGATCGTCATTTTAGTCTATCCTCTATTACTATTCAGATCACATTTCTATTCTATCCTCTATTACTATATGGACTGTTATTCTTTACTCTATTCACTATACTAATTCTCTATTCAGATCACTATACGGATTACTATTTGAGCCAGTATTATCGAGCAAGTACTGTTAGTATGAGTGATATTCAAAGGCGTCTGACACCGGTATTGTTCAACAGCGTACTATAAGTTGTATCTGCAATTACAAAGTCTACAACGAGTATTATGAAAGTGACAAGGAGTATTTGTTGACATCACAAAAGTGGCAACAAGTGTTCGTTGACATCACAAAAATATACTAAAGAAAACCAATAAAATGCTTTAAATGAAAAGGTGTAAGTTCTTGACTTAATATAGAAAAAGAAATTGGATACTAAGGTTGCTAAGATCCATGGTAAGAATGAATCTTTAATTTATAATATTGTTATGATTATTCTCTCATTAGTTATTGTTAATCTCTTATTTTTCCTAACTTATGGATCAAATTTTATCATAGGTGTGTATATGTAGCTAGGTATGTTTCTAATCTGTGCATGAAGACTTGTAGCATTAAAATGAATTAGTTAATGTAGATGAAAATTAAAATGAATTAGTTAATATAGATGAAAGAAGAAAAAAGGGTTGCATCAAGAAGAGATTGTTGAGGGAAAAAAACAATTAAAAATCTTAATGAAAGAAATGAAACAAATCAATTTTAAGATTTTAACATTATACCGTTATAATTCTGCTTGTTCCCCTACTAGTTATCATATGTGGTACACCTTGCCATTACCCCAGATGAATAATGAACCATTCTGTTTTGGTTGCAAAGAAAGATGAAAGAAAAAGAGATATCAGAGATATTGTTTGGTTTTAGTGAGAAAAAGAAAACATACATAATAATAAGAAAGAAAGAATGTAAAAATAGAGGTGATGATAATGCTCTCATGTGTTTGTTTAATATCTACTTCAATAAAATGGAAAAATTTTCTGATTCTTTTCATTTGTACCCTTTTCTTTAAATATTAATCTGCATCCATATTTATGATTGTTATTGTAATATTTTGTTCAAGTTGTTAAGTTCAAATATTTAACAATGAAGTTTACTTAATCATTAAATTAAGAATTATGATGCATCAGAAAATTCAAATACACTGTGAAATTTTCAATGGCACTGCTAGTAATTACTAATTTAAATAGTATCTTTAGGTAGTAATCATGTTGCTTTAAATGGAACAGACAGAGAATTCTGTTGAGCCTTTTTGTAACAGTATTTTACAATAGATATGTGTTGTGGAGTACTGGAGCACCTCTACAAGATGAACTGATCTAAAAAGATGAATAGCACGCTATCTTACTGAGAGAGTGGAAATGGAACAGAACTTCTTGTCAACCTCTCTGCCTGGAGGTAGATAGGAACCCAGATGAGGCTACACTAAAGGGCAGAGTTATGTCTGAGGGGGTAGACAAAACCAGCCCTATGTATACAGGGTCTACATGGAATTTTTGCCCAAGCCTATGGGTTCAGAACACCCCATGTTAAAAACCAGTCTTGTGCCACATCTCTCCTTCAGGCTTCAGGTAAATACTGAAGTTGAACAGAACTTCTTGTTGACTTCTCTGCCTCCAAACAGAGAGGAACCCAGACAAGGCTATGCTGAAGGACAGAATCTTCTCTAGGTTGCTAGACATCCACCCGACACTGTGTATGTGGGGTCTACGGGGAATTTTTGCTTGAGCATATGTACTCAGAATGCCTTGTGCCACATCCCTCTTTGTGGAGAGGCTTCAGGTAAATACTGAAGTTGAACAGAACAGAGGTGAAGTTCATGATTAACCGTTATTACAGTAGACTGTGTTCTTAACTGTTACTTCTATATTATTCTTCGAAATAAATTACTACCACTTTTTATATGTATATCGACATCCATTTCATGAGACAAGATTATGAATAGGTGTAACAAATTTTATACTTATTACCATCTTAGTAGTACCTGGAGAGCAATTTGCTCAAGTTCTTATTCACCTAGTTTCATCTCTGCACAATATTAAATACAAAAACTGCGCATCACTTTCAAAGTATGTTTCGTAATTAAAAAACAACCACCAGAACTCAACCATTAATGGGGAAATAATCACAAATGCTATGCCTTACAATGGAAAGGGAGACAGATGTAACTTATGTTTGTTGGAGAATCTTATTATATTAAAACACTTAAATAACCCTAACTTGCTGAACACTAGGTCCGAATTAATGTCTGCATGCATACATAAATCCAAGCACCTGCTAAAACACATTGACATCGATTAAAAGAGATTACAAAGTATATTACACAAATATTATAATATGCGACAACTTTTAATATTCTTGAACCCATAATTAATTTCTTATATATCTATACACACATATAATCTAATATTACTGTACTCAATTTATTTATAATGTGTGTTTATATAATTTCACCTTATAAGTACAAGGCTTGGTTCCAAACATATTAGTTAGATAGTGCCAACTTATTAATTTATTTTTATTTGCACCATTATTTTTCCAACCCAAGTATTATTTTTGTTATTTGATATTACTATGATATTTTTGGCAAAAATGAGAGTTACCCCACTTAATATTTTATTTACTTTTGAACCCAAATTTAAATTCAAATAATTTAAATTAAGTTTAAATTTAAGTTTTTTTTTAATTTCTTTAATTTTTTTATTTCTCTGCTCTTCAAACTTATGAATTTAAATGATATAAATTATTATTAGTTAATTTTAATATTTTAGGCAGCAATAATTAAATAAACAAGTTTTAACACAAAATTTTGAATCATCACCACAAGAACACAAAATAACTATCAGATTTCATTTGCACCTAAAAAGATTGCAGAAACTGCATGGAACTCCAAGTTGTGCTATTGATGTTGCATATTATGTATATTCACTAATATATATATATATATATATATATATATATATATATATATATATATATATATATATGAGGTTCATTAAAAAAGTGTACGACTTTAATTTTTCCCAACAAAACTAATGCTGTGTGGGTAAAATACTTTGGGTGGGAGGTGACACTAGCCTAACTGCACATGCATGAAAATTTTGTCAGTTCCTGACTGTTGTACCTAGATTACAGACATGTAGTATACACTCATTGTATTTTCATTTTCATGCAAGATTACCCAATGCATTGAGAAAAGATATTGCATCAAGTTTTGCCAAAAACCTGGTAATACTCAAGTTCAAATCATCCAGAAAATTCAGTAGGCCTTTGGTGATAATGTCATAGGCAAAACTCAAATCAAGGAGTGGTACAACCACTTCAAACATGGCTACACCTCAATGGAGAGTTAGGAATGCTCAGGCAGCAGGCAGGTCATCCACTAGCCAAAATGAGGAGCTTATTGAGCAGGTTTGGCAAATAGTCATGGAAGACCATCATTTAACAATCCAGGAAATTGCCCATGAAGTGGAAATAAGCAAAGGATCAGTGCATTCCATTTTAACAGGATTTGTGCATGCAAAAAATGTCAGCAAAATATGCATGCTCATTCCACCCACATAATCCAAAATTTCCTGGTCAAGAATAATACACCACTTGTTTGACAGGTTCCCTTCTTTCCTGACTTGGCACCATGGGACTTCTTGCTCTTCCCCAATCTAAAAACAACACTGAAAGGGAAGTGATCTGAGTCATGAGAGGAAATTATGGAAAAAGCAACTATGGAGCTCCATAGCATTCCAGAGTAGGCATTCCAGAGATGTTATCAGCAGTGACAGAACTGCTGGGAGAAGTGTGTCTACTCCTAAGGGGAGTATTTTGAAGGTGATTCAATAAAATTTGTGAAATGTACAAAATCAATTTTTTGGCCCAAATGTCAGATACGTTTTGAAAATAATATATATATATATATATATATATATATATATATATATATATATATATATATATATATATACACACACACACACACACACACACACACACACACACATACATATTAATAATAAATTGTAATTTATATTA